AGGCTGGACTCAAACCGCTGAAGCGTCGACCATTTCTGGCCGGCAACTTTCAGCGTCATTAAGCCGCTGCGCCACCGCGCGCAAATCCAAGTGATTTTGTCCGACATGCTCTGTGAATTCCTCCACGCGCCCTGTAGCTGCATCCAGAGTCCTCTCTACCCAAAAGGGTTCAGGTCACCCGAAACAGGTCTGCCAGTCAGCTATCTGCAGACGCAGTAATGGTGGAGAAGTACTGTTGCTTCACCACCCTTACCAACACAAGGTAGGCCTTAATAGCAGCTCTAACCCTAACATGCTCAGTTGAGTTTGTTCTTTGATGACAATCAGCAGAGCTCCAGGAGTTTCTTAATCCGCTTCATCTCTCTCAACTCTTTTATAAACCAAGGAGAATAACAGGATCCACAAAAGGAGAGAGGCCAATGGGCATGATCCAATCCAAGGCCTCAGCTGCACTCCTATTCCAGGTGACAACCAAGCCCTCAGTTGGACCATGCAGCAAACCATTAGGAACAACCCCCAGCTCCCTTTGGAACCCATCTGGGTCAATCAGTTGCCAGGGCTGGACCAATTGAATAGGTCCTGCCTCCCTACGGTGGGAGGTAGCACCAGAAAATCCCATGGTTATCAGGCTGTGATCTGACCCTGACAGGGGAGCCACAGAGAACTCCCCCAATTCCAGATCACATTGCTGCTGCTCTGACAAGAAAACCAAATCAGGTGTGGCCACTGTCCTGTGTCCTGGATAACCTGAGATAGCTCACGGCTATCATGGTGGCGATGAACTCCTGAGCAACTTCAGACTCTCCCTCCTAGACAGGGTATATTGAAGACTCTGAGGACCATAAGCCTGGGAAACTCCATTGCCAACCCAGAAATGGAGTCAAGGAGCTCAGGAAGATAGGTCACTACACAGGAGGCAGCTTGGGACAGTAGCAACAGTCCCAACTGATCCCTGGAGCCCAGCTTAATGAACAGGGTCTCACAACTGGTGACCTGTGGAGCAGCACCCCCGAAAGCCATAAGGAACTCTTGAATGACAATCACTACTCCCCCACCCTTGCCCAGAGTCTTGGCTGATGCCACACCTGAAACCCGGCTGGGCACATTTCGCAAAGGGGAGATGCGCCCACCCCCCTTTCTGGACCAGCCAGGTCTTAGTAATACATGGTAGTGCTGTTGAAATATTTACAGCCATTGCTACATTATGTGTTTTTGTATTATTGAATTTTTACTGTACAGTAAAATTTTGCTTTAAGGGACTATTTAAGGGGAAGATGTGCCTGTAAAACACAAATTTATATAACTGACAATCTTTATCATTTCCGTAGTTACATAAATGATGTTTAATATCACTTGCATCATTTGTGTCATTATATTTATATAATGTTATAATTCTGTTATATTCTATTATAATACCTCAAATGACATAAAACATTAATTATTAATGATGAAAATTATATTAATTGTCTGGATTGCTTTGGAAACAATAGACTATCCATTGTTTAATACATTGTGAAATAAAATACCTGTTGCATCTGAGGTCTGCTGAATGGAGATCCAGAGAATCAAAGTTTTACATGGTTAATTATTTTTAATTTTGTATACTAGCTTTCCTAGTCTGGCACTAATGTGTCTGACCAACTCTAAAAATCCTATCTAGAATGATGTTTGGCTACCTTAGGTAGAAATTCTGTGTGCTGGACATACCAGTTAGATAAGACTTTTTACAGCAATGAGAAATACATTTCATAACATCTACTCAGGCACACTATACTCATATATATAAATTCATGAAATACCTAACTACAAAAAGAAAGAAAAAAAGAAATCAGGACACCACAAATTATACATATACCCTCTCTTACCTGCCATTCAACATTAGTGATAATATAAGCCTAACAGTTGACTAGCACTTTACACCTGGAAATTTAAATAAGATTAAAAACTTTGGGTTGAATTCAGTTCTGTTCACACAATAACGTTTTTGAATCCTCTCTTCCTTCCTGCTGCTCCCACATGCTCTCAAAATCTGCTCTAAAGATTTGAGGGCAGTGGGAATTCAAAGTTCCATCACCAGAAATGACTCACTGAATCATAGTACTGATTTTCTTTAGATTATCTTAAAATACATTCTTCCTGTAACATCAACAGCAATACAAAAATAGCAGAACCTTAAGACAATTGCTGATTGCCCTCAGAAGCACCCACAAATTATATGGAAAATAACCTCAGTCACTGTACAGCTGACATTTCATTCCAAATGTAGCTTCTTTTTTTACTGAAGTGTAAAAGCATTATACAAAGTAAAGTAAAAGTTTATACTTACGCAATTTTCTTGCACGTAGCAAGAGCACAGAATACAATATCATTTTCTTCATGCCATTGACACCTAAGTATAAACCATACTTTCATAATGAATCCAGAATTTCAAGTGCATATTGCAACATTAACACAAAATTTGGAATGTTGAAGAAATTAATACTGTTGAGCCAATGCATGGCTATCAACGCTTTTTCAGTACAAGGTGACCCTTGTAATCTTTTGTTTAAATAAATCAATTTTTAAAACATTTTCAAAAGCATCTCAAAAGTCTTGGTCTTTAAGATGCCAGAAGACTAAAAGCAAATCTGTGTTAATTCCAGTGTTTCCTGCATCAAAACATGAAACTTGCTAAAAAGGTAATTTTAAAATATACACTTATACATGTTTTACACATACACAGTACCTAAATATTGTGGTTCTGTTGAAAAAAGAATAACTAAAACAACTCCCATTGCAATTATTAGCTGTTCACTCTAACACTTTTGGTAACTCTTTAATCAGATTAAAACATTAACCACTTCTTAGAAAGACTATTTTGTTAAATCCCTTAAACAGAGAAATGATGTGTTAATGCTGCTTGTTTCATCAACTAATATTTTAATAAATTTAACATTTGCATCTTGCCTTTCTTTTTCAAAATGCAGTTAACAATAAATGATAACACAACTCATAGAAATGCTCTCAGATCTGCTATGAGAATAATAAAGTACACTTATCTATGACCACTTTGTGTCTTTTCCCAGAGAGATTTAGGTAATGTGCTTTGGACTAGTAGACACTTCTACCCAAACCAGTCGCTGAATACAGGTAGTTCCTGGGTTACATCTCTAATTAGGACTGTAATTTTCATCACTAAGTGAAGCAGTCATTAAGTGAAACATCACATGATCATGCTGCTTAGCAACAGCAGTCCCATTTGTGGTCGTTAGGCAAGGACCTCACACTTCCTCTGCCCTGTGCGAACTGCCTCCACCTCAACCCCCCCCAGCTTATCTCCCCTCTCAATCTCTGCCCTTTTGGCTACGCTGCGCAGCATGGACAAGATGAAGAGGCTGTTGTATTCCAATGCCTACCTGCTGCTGCCGCCTACCTGCTGCCGTTCCCCCACCTCAAGCCCCACAGCAGGTGGGGGCCTCTATTGGCACTGGGTTCGAATCACCCCCTCTGCCCTGGCTGCTGGGCTCCTGGCGGACCTGCCCCACTTCAGTTCTGCTGCCACCCTGCACAAGGAGGAAGCTGTCTGGAGCGCGCCTCCCTGGGCCCCGCTGGGACAGGGCTGCAAACCCTCCCTGTCAGTTGCCACTGCTGACCTGGGCAATCCTTCCGCTGGATAGTGAGAAGTGGGCATTTTTGCGGTGGGCTGAGACTGTTTCAGCAGAGCAGACGTGCCCGTAACCTGGCAGTTGGGAAGGTGTCGGCGAGGGGGGCTCTGCACAGCATGGCTGACAGAGCTCTTGCACTGTGGTGCTTGAGGCTGGCTGGTGTCGGTGAGCACAGTGGATGAGGGGAGGCAAGGCAAAGAAGACAACAAAGGTCAGCTGGGGACTGAGGGGGTATGAAAGACAGCAGCCTCTTCATCTTGGCCATGCTGTATAGGGTGGCCAAAAGGGCAGAGATGTGGGTGGAGATAGGTGGATGGGGGAGTTGAAGCAGAGGCAGTCTGCGCTGGACAGGAGAACGTGAACATGGGACACTGTAACTGTTGTAAATGTGGGCTGGTCACCAAGCAATCAACAAGATGTCAGTGTGGTTTCTTTGGGAACCTTAACCATCAAGTATTGAATTCAATTATTTGAGGCAAGGTTTTTTTTTCCCTGATCACAGGAATTAGGTATCCCTTCATAATTCTAAAAGTATATTATTCTGTTAGTGGTCTTGTATACTTTGAGAATAGAAAGGCAGGATACAAATTGAAGTAATTATTTCTATGAACATTATGCATAAGCTTTAAAACTGTCAAAAACACATTAAGATGTAATTTAAAAAAATGTTGCTCACAGTAGATAAAACACTGCAAAAGAGGAATGTGCAAGTTTATGGCTTTTTCAGAATGTGGAAAGAAGAGGGAGATTACAAATTATACCTAGTACTGCCTGAGTAATCCCACATGGAGGCATCCAGTGTATTACACACCCAAGTCTTAGAAGGCTCTTTTTGAAGTTTCTGATAATACAGCTCCACAACAAGATCCTCCACACTTAAAAGCTCTAGATGATTGACTATGCCTATTAAGAAAATAAGTTTCAACAGCAAGAATATTAAAAGATCTGTGTAGCAATATTTGCCCTGTTATAAAGGTAACAACTTCTTACCTGTTTCTTTAGACATATATTTAAGGCACCAGTTAACTCTGAAGCGATCATCAGACTACAAAAATAGAAATTTGGAATTAGGTATCATTTACATATTCAGAGACACAGAAGAATGTGCTCTCTTTTAAAATTTCTTAAGTCCATTATGGCTGCAATTTACTTGAATTAGATCAGTTCCAAATTAAGACTAGTTAAAATGTCATTTGACGCATACATATAGATCAGCAACCCCAAGGGCCTCAAAATCTCCAAACAGCACTAGATAAATACAAATAAGTATTTACCAAATGAAAATAGCAATTTATAAACTACTGATGGATTATACAAACTAAGTGTTCAAGAGCATGGAATAAATTATTAGAATGACTGGTACATGAACTTAAATGGAAATGATTTTGATACCTATATGAATCTTTTAATAATAGTGGGTTAAGTGTTGGAGATGTGGTGCTCAAAATTCAACCTTGGTTTACATGAGGTCATCATATGCCACAGCAGCTACTTTTTCAATATAACTTATTTCATTTATCAGTTTTTTCAGGAATAGTTTGGAAACTAAAAGAAAGGCAAGTAAAATGGACATTATAAAGACACCCATTCTCAATGATAAATGGTCTGAACAGGTATTCTACCATTAGCATTATTTGGAATTTTGACTCCAGTATGAATGATCTTTTTTAACTATTAAATGAACTGTCTTAACTTTCAATTATTTAACTGCCTAACAAGATATAATCAAATATGTAGGACCTGTATTTTTGTTTTATATTTGTTGGCTTTTTTGTTATATAAGAAATATTAATACATATTTGATACTTAATCAACAAGTCCTCACTACTTGTTTTAAATAATAAACAAATTATAAAACAGGAGCACAAGTAGAGATGACCTTTTTTCCATTGTAAAAACAGTTCATTTATTTCTACTTTCTACTTCCTATTCATTAACCTATCCCATAAATAAGTCTCTGGGAGTATGTAACCACAGAGATACAGTATTTGTTTCAATCCAGCATTCTTGGTTTATCAAATCCAAGGTAATTCACTTTAAAACTATTGTACACTTTTATTGTGCAATGATGTGTAATGGGTCAATGCAAAATCCAATCATGTCCAACAGCTTGACTTTTCTCTACCATCAAAAATCTGTTATGGAAATCAAAAGACAAAATAGTTGCATTCATGCTTTGTCATAAGTATCACTGGAGCCTTCTATTTAAAAACATCCATAGTTATATCTGAAAAACGGCTTAGAGTACTTTAACAGTAGTTGAAACATCAGACCGATATCTATCTTTAAATGTTTGAGGAACAAGGGGCCCAAGAATTTTTTTTTAACAGCAAAGGCTCAGATTAGATGAATAACTGAACAAATACTTTTTAATAAATAAATATAAATAAGATTCCTTGTGGCTGAATTCCTCTAGTGAAAAAATGTATTTGGATTGATATTATTCTTTGATTACTTCTCAGAAATTTGAATGTCAAATCGATGTACCTTACAATATACAGGTGGCCAGTTGTCCCTGTGTGGCTGGATGAATGTGTACAGTTCATGCAACACAACTGAATAACTTGCAGTTGTAATGTCAAATCCAGATATGGGAATTCTATGAGTAGCATCACCTAAAGAAATATTTGAAATATTTTAAGATGCAAAGTAACATTCATACACATTCTAACCTTAACTAGATTGCAAGATCTATATGTCAGTTCCATTATGAAAGCTCAAACATCTTAAGAATTTGACTATGCTTTATTAAAATATCCAGTAAGAACAAAATGAGGCAAACTAGTCTCACATACAAATAAAAATGTTTATCATTAATATAGAATAAAATGGTCAGATATAAGGCATCCTTTTGAAATAAGGGATTCTCTAACAGTTGAACCACGCTATATTATTTAAAATTCTGTTCTATTAACATTGTTTGCTTTATCATACAGAGCAAAATACTAGTTTGAATCTTACTGGAAAGTGTAATATGCAACATTCAATACTGTAGAACAGAGAATAAAAGTGCCAAAATGAAAAAAGCTAAAGAAAAGCTAAGTGAAAGCTAAAAAATAGGCATATAATTTTGAGGTTGCTGAAGCTTCTTAACAGCTGTAGAGAATAAATTATTCAGGTACAATTAAATGTTTCAGAAAATCTGATATAATACCCAAGTGTGATGAAAAAAAAATGAGTAAAAATTTAAATTTCTTGATTAATTCTTTGTTTCAACTTTTGTGCAATACTCACCTGCAGCCTGGCAATGAAACCGAAAGCCCCGTGGTATTTCTCCTGCAGAAACCAAAAATAAAACAAAATACATTCACTGACATTGTGTGATGCTAAACTGTTATCCAAACACCCAATTTACTATCCATGGACACCTCTTATAGAGCTTGCTGGCTCTCTGTTTCATCTAACTTTTAAACTGTTTTCAGGGACATTTAAACAAAAGAAAAGTAAAGCTGGCATGCTTCAAAAACAAAGTACCACTTTTACTTTTATTTTCTTTTTAGATTCCATCAATACTTTTAGAAAAAAAACATAAGAGAGTTGTAATCCAGCCCTTTAAAGTATTCCAGAAAAAAAAAGAAAGAAAAAGAAACCAGGGAGAAAGTATAGTAGTAAAATACGTCCTGAAAGACTACAGCACGAAGCGAGCAAAATGAATGTTTCATAAACATTCTCAAAATAAGCTTTCAAAACATGCTCACAAATCCAAAAAAGTTGGGAACCACTGCAATATTTCTGTTGCCATTTTTGTTCACACGATGGGATTAAAATTCAAATACAGGTAGTCCTCACTTAACAGTGGTAATTAGCTGGCAACTCTGTTGCCAAGCACCACGGTTGTACAGCACAATGTCATGTGACTGCACCAACTTACAACAGCAGTTCCAGTTGCTGTTATTAGGCGAATCTTGCGCGGTCGCAGCGTCCTGTGGTCACCATTTGTGACCTCCTGATGGCTTCCTTAATGACTTTGCTCGTTGGTAGCCAGAAGTGAAGGTTGCAAATGGCAATTATGTAACTGTGGGGAGACTGTGACAGCTGCAACTATGAGGTCATAAGTCCCCTTATTCAGTGACATCGTAACTTTGAACAGTCGCTGAACGAGTGGTCACTGAATGGGGATTACCTGTACTTCTCTTGCAAAACTTAGCTAGATTTCAAGACATAAAAAAAATAAGAACATAGGAAGTTTCAATGTGTCAAAACACTTTTTCTTGGAGATTAATGTTTATTAGATCACTATCAATCACTAGAGATATGTCAGATTTTCCCATTATAGTTTTTACTTTTTTAGTATGCATGAATCACTAAATCATATTGCCTGGAACAAACTGAAACCAGTGTCTTTTAGAATTGGACTGAGCCTCTACGCCCCTTCCACTTCCAGATGAATCAGAACAAATTCATTCTCCCCTTTTTCCAACACTCACCAGGATTTATAAAATGATGAAACTCTGCAATTATGCCATCCTTAAGTGAGTATTTGATACACCCAATTTCACAAGGGAGGAAACGCTGACTGCAGTGAAGGGGCAACATTCCGTGACTGAAGATATTCAGAAAGTAGAATGAAGTTTCAAGCACAACTGAAAAAAATGATTTGAATAAAATTAGCAATATATATTATATAATTTCCTAAAGGAAATCAACCCTGATTGCTCATTGGAAGGATTGATAATGAAGCTCAAACTCAGATA